AAATTAGCTTCAAATTTTCTAACAACTGAGAGATTCAGAGCTTTCATTATCCAACCAAAAGAAAGGAGGATTTCTTTGGAAACTGTTTAGCATTTATTCCTATATGTATTTAGTTACAGAAGCAGCAGCAAGGTTACTTTACTTAATCTTCAGAAAAGGAGAAATTCTCTCCTACCCTGCTACTTCGATGAATCGGAATCATTTTTATTCAAATGTCAATTGCTGCTTTATATTTTTTGGCTTTATTGCTGCAGCGGCTTCTTTGATGGTATTTTTAAAGTCTGCCCTGTATACAGTCAACTGATACTCAGAATCCACTAAGAATAAGCAATAGAGATTGTAAACCTTTTTTTTTTCCTAGGTAATCTCCACTACCCATATTCCTCAGAAGGAGTGGCCAACAGTGGCCACATTGTGATTTCTCTAAGCCCCGAGTGTTTAGCTCCTACAGTATTGTGCAGCTTCTTCTCGAGCACTAAAGGTTGAGATATATGTATTAGGGCATCTCACAGGAACAATGGTCCTCTGCAGTTCTAAGTGGTTCTCAGTAGGCTGTCGCCAGGCAAAATTCGCACCGCGAAAGCAGCAGATCATTTGATTGAGGCTGAATTTGTTACTAGTATTGATTTGGGTCCTTTTACTATCTCAGTATCTGCAGTGTTTCTAAGGCGATGAGAGGGCACTTTCTATTACCTTGGTAATCCTCGGGCTGAGGGCTCGGGAACCAAATAACAATGCTTCCTTAGGTACTATAAAGATTCAGGCATTGTGTTGGCCTGTCCCCATCTGGCAGAATTCCCTCAGGCAGTACCCTGGTCAACCCAGGGTTTCATGATTGCGGGTAGTATGTGCACATGTGCAAAGGACCCTTCAAGAGAAAGACCCCATTCACATATGCCCTCTTTCTGCTTTCTCTTTTCTACTCTTTTCTACTGTTCCTCTGGGGCTGACTGGACTTTTCCTGTCTCCCTCTTCTCTTCTGTCCCCCCCCCCCCCCCCCCCGTCTCTTTCTCTCAGACTGGACTTTTCCGTCTCCCTCTTCTCTTCTATCCACCCTCTCCTCTCCTCTCCTCTCTCTCTCTCTCTTCCTCTCTCTGTCTCTCTCTTCCTCTCTCTCCCTCTCCGTCTCTTTACCTCTTTTCTCTTTCCTTCCCCCATCTCTCCCCTTTCTAATAAAACTTCTTACTAAGTTCTGTCTGCCTGTCATGTTTGTTGTGATCCACTGCCTCAGTCACCCTCTCCTGCCATGGTATCCACCTAGCTGCCAAGGTTCCCCTCCCGCTTGATCCTAACCGGTACTTGCCCTCCTCTACCTAGAGTGGGTTAGTTGCAAGAGTTTTAGTCCTGTCCTTGGAGATTCCCTCAGGGTGGTTGCTGAGCCTTCCAATTCCAATCAGGAAGCCTAGCTCAACATTCCAAGGTTTATGGCTTTAAGAATGCAAATGCGGCTGAGAGTTTCCTCAGTTCCTGGATCTCAGACAGTTCCATCTCCTAGCGCTGCCTTCCCCAAGTGTTTCTAGAGAAGACAGCCTGAGGGAGAGGAAGTGGTGCTAATTAAATCCTCCCTCTGTTTTCCAGGCACAGGAGCCTCTAGCAGATGTCTGTTGTTAGGCGTGTGTTCACAGAGTGCACAAATACAGAAGCAGGCTTCCCTTCCCAGTGACACAAACCTTCCTTCATGGGAACTTTGGAAACGCGTTTCCTTCCAACACCCACTGTAAAGGAGGTGGCCAACCTGCATAAATAGAGTACAGAGTACAGAGCTGCTTCGAAGCCAAAATGCCTGTCCCTGTGTCTCTGTCTGTCTGTTTTTCTGTCTCTCTGCTCCCCCCTCCATACCTTTTATTCTCACAATAAAGGCCAATTTCAGCCTTTGGCAGTCTTTAAAACTTTACCTGGATAGTCAAGACAGGCATTCCTGTATCAGGAACCTTGGCCTTACTGTGGGCAAGCTCGACTTTCCTGTCAGTGCAAGAACTGCCAAGTATGCCCTAGATGGAGCTTCCCCATTCTGTATCCTCAGAAGGGTGTGTGTGACGGAATCAGGATTGCCAGGATTGTGAGGGTCAGCTGAGATGAAAGCGAATGTGAACTGCAGACGGCAATCTACCAGTTTAACCAACTGTGTTTTCTACTGAATTCAGTCCCCCCAGAGTGACATCCACAGTTGCCAGAGACAGTTCTGTTTACTCCCACCATCCTGACATAATTGCTAATACCATCATCTTATGCCAAAGTGCCTAGAGTTAGGTAATGCACTCTTGTCGCTTTAAGTGGAGAAATGTGAGCAAAGTCCATTTACCTCCAATAGCGTTCCAACAGCTGACCAAAGAAATGATTCCATCCAAGTTTACCTTAGCGGAGTTTATTGGGATTATTTACAGTAGCATAGGCAAGGTTTCATCTAACAGGAGTATGCTTGGCTCAGAAGCAGTGGCATCATAAAAGCCCACCCTAGCATGACAGCTACATCCCTGGAGCTCCTTGCACAACTTGCCAGTTGCTTGGCTGGCTGGAAAGTCCCTTCTCCTCCGCCAGCAATTGTTACTGCTTATAAACCCTTGGCCAAGAGCCCTGTGACTTTTTAACTTTCTGAGCTTCCCCAGCCTTGGAAGCTGTATGAGTGTCTCTCCTCCCTCCCACAGACAATGTTTCAATTAGGAGGAAAGGGCTCTACAACGCTGTGTGATAGTGCTATTTTTACCTCTCTTGAATGTTCTAGTTTGTCTCAATTTTAAGGGTGAAAATATGCTGGCAAACTAGGCTCCCCCTGCCCCCCCAAACACTTTCTGGCATTTCACAAGAACTGAGGAAATGGAATCAGAGTACCTTTTATTTGATTAAGAACAGAGAGGCAGCTCTGAGCCTGAGATATCATTCCTAATGTGAACTAGATGTGAAGCCTGCTTCCAAGACACATTAGTAGCTGGCCTCTTGTAAGGACAATTGGACAACTGGACAAACTACCTAGGTATAGGCACTGTCCTTATGTGGCTTTCTCACTCTGCTAGTAAATGGGGCACTAGATCAGGCAGACTTTAAATTGAGCCTGCATGTTCCTTCCATTTTGCCCGATTTTTTTTTAAAAAAAATACAAATAGAAATTAATTTATCATTTTATTTAAATACTTAATGATTATTTTGTTAGCACACAGAGACACAGAGACTGAAAATGAAAGAGGTATCAACAACATCATCATAGAGAGAACTACTTTTAACTTTTTTTTTTTCAGTTTCAAATATTGGCCATCCACATATGTATATGCACTTGCAAATATATGTGTAATAGTTTCCCATGTCCATGATTGATTGTAAGACAACTGAACATTATAGTTCATGTATGATAGCTTCCTTGTTCCATAAAATGTATTTTGGTTACCTTTCTATGATACTTCATATTTTAACAGCTGCATTATGTTTGACTCTAAGGCATAAGTTTCATTTTGCCAATTCTCCACTAGTAAATACTGGTTATATTTTAATTATTTGGTATTAAATGCAAGGTTATGTGAATGCTTGTGTTATTATTTATTATATATAGCATTTCTCTACTAGTCATAATTGTAATTGCTACAGTTCTGAAGGGAAAAGTATCTGAGCAGCCAGGAGACATGGAATATCACAAAATCACACTGCACAGTAAGCCTCAAACAATAGACTTATTGGGAAAGATATAGCAGGGTGGCTGCCTCTGCTTCTGTAAGGAACAGCAGGGAACTGAGCAGAAGGCAGGTTTATATAGGGCTTCTTGGGAGCAGAGCTTTCCAGGGTGGAGATTCCCAGGGTGGGGATTAGTGGGATTTCAAGTCCTGAGTTTGGAGAAAGCCTGTGGATTGGTGGGTTTTTCAGCTCAATGATTGGTGGGTTTGGGTAGGTTTTCAAATTGGAAACTCAGACCTTTTATCCTGCAATAATGGTGTGATGAGAGAACTTACATACATGTAATACATACATATAATCCATGTATTTTGTATGTGGACCTGTCTTTAGATATTTTTGTAAACTGTTTTCTTAAAATAAAATTTTTGAACTGAAGTATTTGATTTGAAAATAAGCCAGTTCCAGGTGTCCTGTGTTAGCCAGAATTCTATTGCTGTGAAGAGACACCATGACCACAGCAACTCTTATAAAAGGAACTTTTAAACTGAGGCTTGCTTAGAGTTTCAGGGGCTTAGTACATTCTCATCATGTTGGACAACATGGAGGCCCATGGGCAGACATGTTGCTGGAGAAGTAGCTGAGAGTTCTACATCTGGATTCACAGGCAGGAGAGAGAGAGAGAGAGAGAGAGAGAGAGAGAGAGAGAGAGAGAGAGAGAGAGAGAGAGAGAGAGAGAGAGAGAGACATGGGGCCTGGCTTGGGCTTTTTGAAACCTCAAAGCCCACCCTCTATGACACACTTCCTCCAACAAAGCCATGCCTATTCCAACAAGGCCACACCTCCTAATCCTTTTCAGGCAGTGCCGCTCCCTGATGACTAAGCATTCAAATAATGAGCCTATAGGGGCCAGTCTTACTCAAACACTGCATGCCCTTGTACCAATCCCCGGAGCTGATCAGGAGCTATATCATCATTGCTTTTCACTTTTAAATATCAACAAGGCCAGGCAGAGTTTTAGACAAAAATGCCAGGAAATAACAAGGAGGAATTACCTGGCAGTAATTTCATGCTACATTTCCCTGGTTCAGATTATGTTCTGGTATTAATCTTGAGGGAGTGGAGTGGCTCACAGGCTTCTTTTCTGTGTCCTGGGAGTTCCTACTTTTCTCTTCTGGTGAAGGCCCTGTATAGGATAGCATTTAGATGTCTGTGCTCCTGCATTATCCACTGGTGCTTCTGTTTGATCAAAGTGTGGCTGTTTCCCACTAAGAAAGATCTTCTAGTATAGGTCTAGAACCTATACTAGAGGTTATAACCTCTCTTTCCGTAGCCAGGTGACAGATGATATGTTTTATCCACTAATGAAAAGATTGCTTCTTTTTGTTTGTTTTAGGCTAAAAATGTCAACAATAGGGAGCTTTGAAGGGTTCCAGCCAGTGTCTCTGAAGCAAGAGGGAGATGACCATCCCTGTGAGACTGACTACTTATCCACAAACGACGGGGACTCAGACAAGAAACCAGGACCAAGGAAGATTTCAAGACAGCTGAGTGTGACTAAATCAACACTTTACCCCAATCCTTATCACCAGCCCTATGCTTCACGGAAGTACTTTGCTACACGGGTAAAAATCACTATTTTACATATTGTTCAAATTTTTCTTTTGAAATTGTTCTCTTTTTTTCTGTACTGAAGTTTTCCAAGAGTTACAGGTTTTACAAACTTTTTGTAATAGTGGCTGTAATGCTCATGTAGTTGTCCTTGCCCCCATTGTACTGATGAACGGTGTAAATTCAGACAAGTCAAGTTTCTGGTTTTTATCTCTCAGACAGCCTCAAGGAGATACAGTTCTGGTAGCCTCTCTACATCTGTGTGTATGGTCCTCCACCGATACAGAATCTGGCCTCAGAGAACAAATGTTTAATGGCTAGAGAATCTCTAAGATGGTAGCTGGATGGTAAAGCAGTGAACTCACTGTTTAAAAAAGACATAGACTGTGAAGTGGAAAGTGTTGCTGAGGTTAAGCTGAATCTCAGGATGGATGCTAGGATATTGTTGTTGTATCACGGGAACAACGGCTTGAAACTCTCAGTTTGTAACCACAGCACAGGGCTCTGAATTCTTATCTGAGCAATGGACGAGAAAAGTAAATGGATGAGGACAAGGCTGCTGAATATTAGTGAAAAGTACTGGATTTCTTGTCTCTTTGTTTTTTATGTGTTTGTTTGTTTTTGTACTTACTGATTTTTTTTTTTTTTTTTTTGTAATCCTCCGAAGTTCTTATTATTAGAGTAGCCATAATCCATGGGAGGAAAATTAGGTGAATGTTAACTATGACAGCAAAGACAGTTCTCATGAATACATGGGACACCTTTTTGTTGAAAAATAACCAACCCTCCCTCCCTCCCTCCCTCCCTCCCACCCTTCCTTCCTTTCTCTTTTTTTTATGTGTGAGAGTGTTATATACCAGGACAGAGGACAACTTTTGGAAGTTGATTCTGGCTTTCCACTTTGAGACAGGTTCTTTCTTGTTGGGTTTGACTCTGCTCTGGTCCATACTCCAGGCCAGCTAGCTTGAAGGCTTCTGGCCAGTTCTAGTCTCTCCACCTCCCACGGCATAGTAGAAATGCTGGAGTTACGTATGTGCCCCCCCCCACTGTGATTTCTGGAGACCACACTCAGGTTCTCTCATTTGTGTAGCAAATACTTTTATTTGATTAGTCATCTCTCTAGCTCTTGGGAATATATTGTTTAGTTCGATATCATAAGTAAGTGGAGGTCAACAATTCGAGACTATTCACAAAGCTTAGGGAATCTTGGGTTGATGGCTTTAAAGATATATACCTTTGTTTGAGATAAAGTTCTAACTAAAGTAACTGAATGTGTGAGTGTGTATGCATATGTGTGTATTTAAACATTATGTAGACTCCTATGTGCAAAGCACTTTGGTAGGTGCTATATTATCTGTGTTTGTGTGAGTGTGTTTTGCATATGTCAAGCATATGGTCTGTTTTCCAAAATATGTGAACTTTATTGAATATGCAAAGTTAAGTTGAGATGGAACTGTAAAAGGAAATGTAAGCATCCTTTGGAGTTTTAAGATCTTGATGTGGGTGGTGACAGGGTTTGATGAGAAAATACAGAGCAGTGGTGCAAAATAGTGGCCTAGTGATGGGAGCTGGTGCAGCTACAAAAGCAGGCTAAAAAGTCTATGCAGAGTTCTTTCCGTTGCTTGTGATGGTAGTCCTGAAGTTGGCAAGGGTAGAACAGTTGGCTCTCTAGAGTAGGAACAGGGAATATCTTCATGGCACAACTAAAATTTATCTTGGCAAAGTAGAGCTTATGAGGAAAAATTAACCTCTACCACCAACTATAATCTTAATAACAAGTCACATTTAGAAGCTGTGCCTTTGCCAGTGTATCAGGGATGGGAGAATCTTAGGGAGGAAGTCAATGGTAATGGAAGGAAATGCTGGTATTCATGCTGCCCATGGCAGCAAATGAGCCAGGGCAGTAATTTCCTTGACCATGCTGTAGTGCATAGTGACCTGAATTGATCTTCAGCAAATGAAGCAGCTGGTTTCATGTCTGCCATTTGAAATTAGTGTGTCTTTCTCTGTGGCTAACTCCCATTTGGAAACAAACAGGGAAAGCAAAGCTAAACCATGTAGTTCCTATTTTGATGAGCTGACCCAGTCCTAAATCTACTACATGTATCTTAAGACATTTACAGCATCTTTGAAAAGTTGTGGCTTTATACAACACTGTGAGGAGAAAACAGACTATCTTTGATTTAAGAATAAACTTATAGGAGGCTAGAGAGATGACTTGGTGGTTAAAATCATGCCTTGCTCTTACAGAAGATCAGGTTTGGTTCCCAGCACCCAGATGGTGGCTCACAACCATCTATACCCCCTGGTCAAGGAGATCAGACTCCTTCTTCTTATTTCCACAAGCAGCCAGTACTTCACATTCTGTATTCACACACATGCAGGCAAACCACTCATATACATACGATAGAAATAAATCAGTCTTTTTATTTAAGAGTGAACAAGTTTCAGGTCAATGAAATCACCTACGTTCAAGAGCTTCAGTAAGGTGCTGAATCCACTGCTCTTTCTAGATGAAAGTTACAATTTATATAGATCTTTATGTGATGGTACCCTCTTCGTCAGACCTAGAGGAAGTATATCCAAGTTCTCAAGAATGTCTGAGGACAACTGTCTTGTGTAGGAGTAAGGCCAAAGTGAGCCTGAGGATGCTTTGTGAGCTGTGAGGGTGAGATTTCAAGGGCTGTTCCCCCAAGCCTTCTCCTTGTCTGGTAGCCCTGCTATGCTTCCTGCCTGCCTACTAGACAATCAGTGTTTTATTCCTCAACCAATAAGAGGAACATATATACAGAAGGACATCCCCATCACTATACTGCTGAAGAAGACTTCCTCTTCCTCTTCTAGCAGCCCTCAACTGCTAATAGCTCCTCAGCTAGGGATGGGGCTTTGAGAGCCCCTTCCCTTTCCATGCTGGAATGTTGATCGTCTTGATCCTGTGGAGGTCTTGTTCAGGCAAGCAAAGTTGCTGCGATTCATGAGTGCAACAGCCCTGACATTTGCCAATGATGCTATTTTGAAACATTCATCCTAATTTTCTGATTTTTTATCTTAACACACCCTCTTCTGCAATGTTTATTGAACCTTGTATGTAAAGGGGATTTGATATATGTATCCCATTTACAATTTTCTGTGTTAACTGCTATCTTACTGCAATAAAATATCCATCTGATGAGGAGTGAGAGCTATACTTTCTTAGTTCAAAGATTAATATTTAGAAGATAGTTTGGTACTATGTACCTTTCACAAAGTATTATTTGTAGGGCCTTTAACCTTCCTACCCATGAGTTCTTTGCTATGTTTACAGGCATGAGTTTCCTCCCATTGAGCAGGAGGAAACTGTCTTAAATTCAACTAAGAATCTGTTGGCTGTCCCAATAACATTTATGCCACTGTTGTCCCCACTGCATAGTCTAGTCTTTATTATTTGCTGCTGAGTAAGACAATTGATGGATTGTTTTCCCTGTCAGTCTACAAAGCATCTTCTAGTTCTGTGAAAGCTACCCAAAAAGGAAGAAGTTTCAAGGTCAGTATCAGCTTGGTTTCTCCAAGTCATATAACCAAAGTGATGCTTTTAGCAATAAATAAGGTCTTATCATCAAGTTCTTGTAGGTGACCAAGAGTAATGTCCTCTGTTGTTTTGTGTGTTTCTGGGAACCCCCTATCCAAAATTTCAGTAGGAAGTATTCCATACTTAGCACAGGGATTTTTGTCTGATTACCTTTATATTCTGGGATGAACATTATCCCAACAAACATTTTTTGAAAATAAATAAAAAATGATCTAGTTTTACTAGTTTGTAAATCAAATCGAAATGCTTTAATTGTTAGACAGAAGTGTGTGTGTGTGTATACACATATGTGAGTCTTAATTTACTCACCTGTAAATTATAAAGTGCAAGTTTTATAAAGAACCCTGAATGAACTAACTTTGTCAATATTCATAGAGTATATGACACATCTATAAATATTTCAAACATTGTGATTTTCAGTCCCTCCTCTGTTATTTTTTTGCTTATATTCACAATTCTATCAAAATGGTTATAAAAATGGTAACAAGGTGCCTGTGACCTCACCATGATCTCTAGGGTGAGAAATAAATGTTGACACAAGGGTCTGTAGTAGTTAAGAGGAGACTGGCCGACTTTCTTAAGGAATAATTAAGTAAGACCATAATACTTGAAGTTTCAGATGTGTGAGAGTCATCATGAAGTGACGACTTCTTAGATATGAAGTGAGATCTCAGATGTCATGGTCCAGCTGGTGAGCAGATTCTTCATTTCTATAAACTTCTTGCCAATGATGATACTCTCTTGCTGTTCAAGTTACTCATTTTCAGTAACACAATAGGGAATGAGATTTTACTTTTCCAAGAGTTTATTAAACAGTGAATCCAGGGCTAGAACCACTTTCCTGACTACCTATTTGTAGTACTGTGATTCCCTGCCACAATCACAAGCAAATCAACTTATGCTAGGCTAAGAATTTAAAGTGTATGCATTGCAAATTGGGAAGATCACTGAGTGAATGAGCTGAAGAATTAGTTGCTGAATTATTAAGAGATTTTAGGATCATCACCCAAGAAGTAATTTGTTGATTGAAAAGTTAGAAACTATAAATATGTAAAATAAAAGTCGCTGTAACCCACTGTTCAATAGTAACTAAAAAATGTATTGCATGTGCTCTTATACATTTGTGGGTGGATATTTTTTGGTTTTCATATATAATTTCTATATATAATCAGAGTTATAACCTAAGTATTTCATATGGCCACAATATTTTTGTGACATCTTTTTTAATTAGTTTTATAGCATTCCATATTGGGGATATATACTACTACAATATGATTTACTTTAACTGAAGATTTAGACTGTTTTCTGTTCATACCATTGATCTGAGAATGAAACATCCATTGGCTTTCTGTGATGGTATGACATACAGTTTTTTTGGGGTGTCAGAAACTGACATCAAAGGATGTAAGGAAAAGAATGAATTCTATGAGTTTCAAGAGGGATTTGCAAAGAAGTGACTAGCCTGGAAACAGGAATTCTTGACAAATAAGTGGTAATTTATCACACACCAAGGAACTAGATCATAAAATAAGTTATTGACTTCATAAACCCCTAATTATTATTATTATATGTGAAATTTATGCCGCTCTGACTTAATTTAAGGTAGCTCTTCTTAGAGACAGTGGGTCCTGGGGAATATCCAGGCAACATCCTAAAGTACCTCAAAGAATTATTCCTTGTTCAGGGTCAATCAGCATCCCTAGAATCATGTCAGGACTGGGAAATGTACCTGCAGTGCAGGACTCCTGACACTGTCACTGCACTATCCATGACCTTAGGACATGAGTGAGAGGTACCAGAAGTGAAAATCTAAAACCCTTGCTCTCAGTCCACTTGCAATGCTTTTCTCTTGTTGTAGTGTGCCTGCTATTATTGCTTAGATATATCTAAAAAAGACCTCATGCCTTCTCTGAACAAAAGTATCCCTCAAGGCTAATAACTTGAGGTATATTATGATAATCATCTTGGTTGTGGAGACTGATGTTCAAAAGCAACTTTTTATGAAAAGAACAATGCCTAGCCCACATGGAGAAAGATATTTTTAAACTCCCTGTAGGGCTCTGTATTTGCAGATACCTTATCAGAAAGTTGAAAGCAATTGGAGATGGAGAATTATCTCTAAATTTATACTAGAGAATGTAAATTACATACAAACTAATGGGACTAAAACTATTTGATCTTTTAATATTTAATTAATGGTTCCCCATGGCCTTTTTATAGCCTGTGTTCTATTGTGAGCAGCGAGACTTTAATAAGCAGGTTCAGGACTTCCCATTGTGTAGTGAGATGTCATTGCTTCCATGACACTAATTTGGCTTTCATTCTCTCTCTCTTTTCCTCTTCTCTTGCTAGAGGGTTCCCGGTGACTTGCCCTCACATTGGGAACAAATACATTTATTAGTTTTATTGTTATTGCCTTGTGAACTTCCATTTAGTTTAGAAAATAAACACCTCACTGGGTATGAGGCTGTTCTGCTGCCATTGTATGAAACTCCTTGAGGACTGTTATAAAGATGATTTGTTCTTTTGTGAGAGAAGAGCCACAGCAATGATGTGATAAGGTGAATTTTTATTACTTTTTTCAAGGAAATAAAAGTTTTCATTTAAAGATCATGACCAATCAAGCTAATTTTCTTACTTCTGTGTTCATTGCAAAATGGCCTCTTTCTAGACATCATAGTAGCCACAGAAGGAATGTGAAAACCAGAGCTTCTAAGATCAGCCTTTCCTGATTTACTGGTTTTTCTTTTTGTAAACAAGGAGCTTATTACATGAAAAACATTTACAAAGTCAAGGTTATCTTTTGGACCTGGGCTAGTCTAGATTATGGAAATGAAAGGGAATAAACATACAAGTCTTTGGAATTCCCCAAGAAATTTGCTTTGCCTGGAACTACTTGGGGCTAGAATATAAGAGACAGTAGAGTCACTATGTTATGTAAGATGATGTATTTGATCATAGTTTTCTATTTGTCTTAGACTATAGTCACAGAGGTAAGTGTGTAATTTCATTAAGCATTTGATCCCACTATGGCAATTTCCCTTTTATTAAAAATAAACAATAATAAGAATTATGGTAAAGCCTTCCATTATTCAGTATTTGTTACTATTTAATGTACAGGGTCTCATGGTATCTCTCAGTAGTTCAGTTATAGTAATTACTATCAAAACAATCTAACAAACTAATAAACTAATGAAGAATATCATGATGACTTACCATGGATTCCAGAGAGCCATAAGGATGACTGAGATTAAGCTTTGATATTTAAGACATGAAGTGCCTAAATATTTTTAATTTTTTATTCTAAAATATTAGATTTAAATGTATTAAGTAAAAATTGTTAATTAATAATAATAAAATTAGAGGAAGCACATTTCTCTGTTGGGCTACATTTTGGTCTATATTCTCAGAAAGGGTGTGAGCAATGTTCCCACTGTAAAAACAGAATGGTGCAGACAATGAGAACACTGACAGAACTGTAGAGTATCAAAGCATTCCATAAATAACTCACTAACTTTTGGTGTTTAGCAATTGAAAAGGTATACAGGAAGGTGCCACTTCCATGTCCTATTTTTATCTCATGTTTTCCCACCCTACAGAAACCAACATCAATATATTTCATAGACCTTGTATGCTTTCTTCAGCTGTGTGTCAGCAAAAAGAAATATACTTACTCCACATATTTCTGCATAAGGAAGGTGGCCCACCTTACTCTCAATTGTTTTATTTTTTCTTTTCGTTCATCAATATACTTTATTACTTCTATACCTTCATCATATTACATTACCTGAATGTATTCTATAACACAGCACCCTCCTGATCAGCATATTGTATATTATTCCTCATTTATTGCTCTACAAACAAGGCTGCAAAGAGTTCCTTAGCTATGCCATTTTGTATATGTGCAAGAATAGCAGAAGAATGTCTTCATAGAGGCATATCTGGATTAGATATTGATCATTCTTCATTTTGATAGATTTGGAAATTGCTTTTGGTATGAAAGATAGTAAGGTTTTAAAATTTTATGCAGTATTATATTCATCTCACATATTCTTGGTGAATTACAAGGCATAAAAACATTCAACAAAATGCTTATTTTAGGGTTATTTAATTACACTCTGATTCTACTTACTCTTTTTTTCTGAAAAGAATTAGTTGCGTTGCTGAGTTATATTTGTGAGGCTAAAATTATGTCAGGAAATTATGAGAAAAATACCAATGTTGAGTCATGCAAGAGAGCATTATATTTCATAAGACTGAAAAGTGGGCCTGGGAAAAATCAGCATTCCTCAGAGGGACTGATGTTGAGCAAAGGGAGAATGGCCAGGAGGTTACCAGGAATTTCCTCCTAGGGTAGTCTGACTGCTTCCCATGTCCCTGGAAATGAGTGACATCAGTAGAAACTTGTCTGGCAGCAGTGCCAGGCATATTTGACCAAAACCCCAGAAGTTGTTGATTTGATGACACATGGCCTTCAGCAAGCATGAAATGCCAATATTAGCTTTCTGACCAGACTTAAGCCAGCCACAGACAATGACACTGAAGGGAAAAAAAATCATTCAGTCCAGTAGCTGACTGTTTGGCTCAAGGAGAAACTTGCTAAAAATGATGGAACCAGAATCTTTGGCTATTGTTGTGTGATATTTTGTTTGTGTTCTGACAAATAAAGCTTGCATGGAGTCAGAGGGTGGAGCTATCCACTAATTAACCATAGAGGCCTATACAGAAAGGAGACAGGAAGTGATAAGGCAGTGGAGAGAGGATCTAGGCCTTTTTGGACAGAAGAATGAGAGAAGTAGGAAGCAACTGGTGGTTTCTCCCTATTCTCTGATCTTCCAGGTTTTTACCCAGATATCTGATTTCTGGTTTTTATTGTTAAGATTAATTTGATTTATGCTTCAGGCTATAAAATCTGTGATCATACTCTTGAAGATGTATAGAGCTAATTAATGGTCATCAGTGTGGCTCAGAAGGTTTGGTTTATTTCAGTCCACTAGCCAGAAAGCCAGGTAGATAGCTCACACTGAAGAACTAATTATTGACAAATCTTGTCATTCACTTCACTTCAGGTATTATACCATCCATCACTTTGTGGATGGCTTGGGCTGTACAGAAGGAAACAAGGAGCTGGTGTGTAGATAAAGTAATTATCTAGCTCAAACTGCACCATCCACACATGCCTCATCTGAAGCACCATTATTTTTCCTTGCCTTGATCCCCCTATAAGACAGTGTGCATTCTTGGAAATTCCTGATGCATTTATGTACCTGTCCACTGAGTTTCTGAAATAACTGGCCAATTATGTATCCTGGGTTAGGATTCTTTAGGCTCCCTGATGATTCTGGTGTATAATCAAACATTGAGAGTAACTTCTTAACAAGTACCATCTCCATACCAACAACAACATCACCTGGATCTGTGTTAGAAATGCAGGTCACAACCAAAGATAGCTGAATAAGAAACTGGGAATGGTCCTAGACATATTTCAACATTGCTCTGATATACACAGAAGTTTAAGCATCACTGGACTAGGGAGGGTCTGAATTTGCTAGAACAGGTATCAATCCGTTTCCAAGTAGAACTAGGCCTGGATGTGGGAACACTTGTTTTATGAAAGTTAAGACACCAAGGAGAGAGAGAGAGAGAGAGAGAGAGAGAGAGAGAGACAGAGAGAGACAGAGACAGAGGCAGAGACAGAGGCAGAGAGAAAGAGAGAAAGAGAGAGAGAGAGAGTTGAGCTGCATAGTTTGCCTCATTGATGCATTGATGGTCAGAGCATTGAAAGAAAGTTACATTTTGAGTTTTACCAACATGTGGTTTGGAATCTGGGAAGGCAAAACAAAACAAAACAAACAACAAAAAAAGATATATATATATATATATAGTCCCTCACAGAAGGGGAAAGGTACAAGACCTCCTGAGCAAATTGGGAGCAGTGGATGCCAGACTGAGAGCTGGGAAACCAGCATAGAACCAACCCAGACCCTTTGAATGTGGGTGTCAGTTAGGAGGCCTGGGGAGTCTATGGGGCCTCTGACAGTGGAATCAGGATGTATCCTTAGTGCCTGAATACTTTTGGTCTGCACCATAGAGGTAGCATTAAAACAGAGTTCAAGATCAAGTTCTCTGCCATTCAGTGAAGCAGAATATGCAAATGCAAGAACCAGGTTTAGTCTCCTGGAGAAGGAGAAGGAGGAGGAAGAGGAGGGGGAGGAGGAGGTGAAGGTGCTGGCCATTCTAACTAATCAAAACCAGAGTGTGTTCACTTTTCTCTAAGTGAAATGCTTTCTTCTGTCACTCAGCCCGGGGCCATTGAGACTGCAGTGGAAGACCTGAGCAGCCACATTACACAGACTTCTGGAGAGACCATTCAAGGCTTCTGGCTCTTGACAGAGTGAGTATATGACTGTGTGAACGGAAGTGAAAATAAGTTTCTTGCTATCACTGGAACCTAGGGGAGATAAGCATTTTAGATGAACTCTTCTGGAATTTGCATTATTGATTTTTTTTCCCCTCCTGGAGAGTGGTCCCTTGGTTGAATGGATACATTTGATTCCAACTGTGATCTTTCTACCCAGCCATCACAGTCATCATGGACTCAGGTCTATAGGCTCAGGGCTGTGTCTGCTTTCAAGGATTATTGGAATAACTTCCTAAGTGCTCTGCTTGGATCTCTCTGCATAACAAGTATGCTCTCTGTAGTGCTACTGGCCAGCTGTTCATTTCATTCTCAGTGCAGTGGAAAGAAATAGTAAGAAAAGGGACAGATGAAGTCTAATATATAGTCTGAGTTCTACGTATGGTGTGGACAAAGATCCTAGAGAAATCATGCATCATAAGGAAGGCAGGCCACTGGGGAATGTTAGGATGAGAGCCAAGCAAACACACAAGTCTTCATTGCTCATTAATACCATTCTTTCCCTTTAAGACTTCCCTTAAAGTAAGAGCTTCCCTTGGGAATGCTACATGGAGATAATTACTTTTCTACCCCTGCTAGAAATTACACATATTCAATGATACACATAAAAAGGCAAGGGGGGGGTCGTCTGTCTACTATAGAACCTATTATGTTATGTGGAAATATGTTTAAAACACCCACATGGATTCTTTTTTTTAAGTCATCAAGGCTTTGTGTGTGTGTGTTTTAAGATTTATTTATGTATTATGTATACAGCTGTTTGCCTGCATATATTCCTGTACACCAGAAGAAGGCACCAGATCTCATTATAGATGGTTGTCTGCCACCATGTGGTTACTAGGAATTGAACTCAGACCTCTGGAAGAACAGTCAGTGTTCTTAACCTCTGAGCCATCTCTCCAGACCCTATCCACGTTGATTCTTGATGGGTTCAGTGAATATTGCGTTCAGGTTGGGGAACCAGAATTCCAGTAACCCAGTGGTCCTCACAGGTGAAGGAAGACGTGTGTAGTCTTTGCCCCTTGAGCAGGGCAGCCTCTCTGGCTGAGTTTCCAGAAGGAAACTGTTGAAGCCTAAACCACCCAGGCTGGAAAAATGGGGTCCCCACAGGCATGATGAAGAATCAGATTCCCCTGAGAGTCAACCGGACTGGTTACCAGTTTTCATTTCTCTTCCAAACACTTTTCCAGAAGTGAATGAAAAGAAACTTTTGAAAACTAACTTTTTTGTCTTTCTTTTTAATTCTTTGTGTCTTTATTTATAAAATGAGACTAAATTCATACCTGAAGTGATTTTGAGAGCATAAAATGAGATTTTACTGTAAAATTTTCACTAGTGCCCTCTTCTAGTCGCAAGCACTAAGTATTGGTGAAAAGTTAATTCCTTCTTCCTCCTGCTCCTCCTCCTACTTATCCCTTCTTCTCTTCCTTCTCCTCTTCCTCTTGTTTTTGCTTCTTCTTGTCTCCATCTTTCTCTTATTTTCTCCTTCATTCATTTATATCTTACCTATCTTGATAATTTCTGAGCTAACACCATGAAAATGGAAGCCTATGATTTAAACTTTTCACTAACTCATTTGGACAAATCTATTCCCTTCACCATTCTTCAAATGGAGAGCCATGTTGGACCCATGAAATGAAAAGTCTGCTTTGGTTAGGAAAGGGTAAGCACTTGGATTCTGGAGAACTTGAATTCAACATCCCAACAATATTTACACCAATACTAACATAATTGGCAAACATTGCAGACTATGACTTAATTTTCTATTTACTCGATTTGTAGACTGTCTAAACTTAAGGCAGTGGTAGAAAACACGTTAACTGTGCAGATAAAACTCAGGTGGGCCCTGCCTGCAGCTCTTACACCATGAAAAACTAATGTACTATTAGATTGCTATTTGGTTCACAGGGGCCACTTTTTCCATCGGTGAATGAAAAAGTTTACTATAAAATTTTGGAAAGATTTCGAAGGTAGAAGCTGTGTGTTTGCAGGGCCTGTTCTTGCCTTGTGACTGAGACAGTCTTCCCTAGTTCTCCCCTGTCTTGCCTATGCTGTAAGGTAAGAAATCTTGCCTCTCGTGTAATAGCTTGCTGTTTCCCCTGTCATAGGAGATTAATATGTCACCACCACAGAGGGGAAATCCTCATTATTTATCATGGGGCTTTTATTGAAGAAAGCTGTTGGAGGTGAGAGGGAAAACTGATACCGGACACAGCCAGGCTTAGTGGATCTTTGTACTTCATTGCTTTTGGTTTGGGCCTGGAGAACTGATGAGTTGACTGGGTCACTGTTTAGAAGGCAGCAGAGTCCTACTTTATTGAGGAAACATTCTGTAAGAAACACTATAGGAAGCAAGCTTACAACCCTATTAGATGCAACCCTAAATATATTCATTCATCACTTACAGAGCTAGGAACTGTTTCGAGAGAAAAAAAAAATGTGTCTGAGAGAAAAGAGTGTCTACAGTGTCCATACAGAAAGGTTGAGTATGTCGTTGTACACATAGATCTAGACACCCTCATCAGAATGGGAAGTAAGTCCAGTGTGACTGTCTCTTGTAGAAGGGCTTCTATTTGCAAAAGGAACAAAATGTGTTAGTAAATCTGTCTTCTTCATTAATACAGGTGAGTCCCTATGGTAACCTAACTTATATGTATAAAGTATTCAGTAATACTAGAAGCAGGAGTTTGACTGCATGTGGGAAGTGGATGTAGACAGTGGCCAGAGAAGCTGGGAAGTTGAACAAGAGAGGAAGTTATAAACTCCATTTAGATCCTAGATTTGCTAAAATATCACAAGTACTTGAGGGTGAATGTTAGGGTCCAGGCTCTCAGCCATCCTTTTAAGGAGATTGTTACCCCTACACAGTTACCAAGACAAAGTAATGGTTATTTCCACCTCTCTTTCCTCCTTCTTGGCTCTTCTGAAAAAGAACATTTAAAACAATGTATACATACTTTTAGAAGAGATCCATTAAGCTAGTGCCAAGAACATCTTGACACTTGGGGAGTCTTAGCCAGTGTGGCACGATGGCAGTGGAGTCCCTTCAGTACAGTGTGCTCAGACAACACATATGCCTATAGCATTGTGAGAGGCTCTTCTCTCCATATACAAGGGTTAATGATGGGAGAGACATTTGTCATGGCTAAATGAGAAAACCCACTAATGGTGGCAGGGGCCAAGCAATTCTCGATCTTTTCACATCTGTGAAAAACATTTAGAATATGTTTCATTACCTGCTTATCCCCAGCCAGTTTCTATCTCGGGACTTTGGTATGGAAAATACATGAAATCGAATGAACTTCCCGTATCATGCATACAGAGAATAGAACATGTGGAGTTAAACAACACCTCCATTCTCAGAAATTCAAGACTTGGGTGTGCATCCTGCTTGTTAGTTTCTGTCACAACAGCTGCACAAACACAAGTAATATTTACTTTTTACATTTTTATTTTTTCCAGACAGGGTCTTATATGTAGGGAAGAATAAACTTGAAACAATGGTAGTACTATTATTATTGTACCAAAATAAAGATAAGGGGAATTGCTGGATTTATTTTAATCCCCCTCCCTCCACGTTCAAAGATGACAGGTATACGGCTTCCACGTATTTTGCTAAAGATGCCTATGTTTTAAAAATTGCATTTAATTGAACACTTGAAATGTAGCATACGTTGTGATAAGTGCTGTCCTTACATTTACCACTGAAAGGATGTAATCCATGCAATCTCCATGATCTCTAAATGGTGCCACTCCCAGGACTTGCCTTGTATTGTCCTAGATGTCACATAGCTTTGAAAGTCACTAGGTGGCATAGCTTTTATTTAAGCATTTCTTTTCAAACCACCAGTGAGTTCAACACAGAATTAAGTGCTTAGTATCATTCTTTAAAAACCAGAGCACCGAGCTACTTTGACTAGAAAGACATGAAAACATCCATCACATTATTTGACCAAGGGGGAAAAAAAAAAAAAAAAAAAAAAAAACAACTCCACAACATTTATTTTCTGTAGCATTTTGAAGTGTCCTTCCTCATCTAGTCTCCACAGTAACAGTCAAAAAATAATAAAAAAATAAAAAGGAGGCATTGTCTGTTAAGATGGTGAGTCCAGGCTCAAAAGAGGACCCTGGAGTTATAGTAGCAAAGACAAAGGTTCTGTTGTAGGGCTAAATACTCTCAGTGTTGTTCTGAAGTCCACTAATGGACAGAGGCCATGCCTTTTGTGTGGCATCCCTTTGAGAACCCATCATAGTTCCTCCAGCAGAAACATGCTCAAAAAATGAGAATTCTGTTTCTTGGCTTTGGTGGGTTAAATGGAAGTATGCAGGTCACTCCTGCTGACTTAGAGAATTTCTTCAGACTGCTTCATCCAGATATTTAAATAAAACAAAGCCAGGACCATTTAGATGGCTCAGCACAGGTAAAATCTAACAGTATGAATTCAATCCAAGAACCCACATGGTGAGTAGGAAACCAGCTCCTTCAAATTGACTTTGACCTCTCCATACAGGCCATGACACATATGTGCGTGTGCATGTATGAGCTTGCGCGTCGCGCGCACGCACACACGTACACACACAAAACAACAACATAGAGAATTTTAAGTAAAAATTTAAACAAAATAGGGTATACTGACTTATTTTCTGTCAACCTGACACACTCTGAAGTCATCAGAGAGGAAGGAGCCTCAGTTGAGGAAATGCTTCCATGAGATCCAGCTGTAAGGCATTTTCTCAATTAGTGATCAAAAGGGAAGGGCCTTACCCATTGTGGGTGGTGTCATCCCTCGGCTGATGGTCCTAGGTTTTATAAGAAAGCAGGCTGAGCAAGCCAGGGGAAGGAAGCCAGTAAGCAGCACTCCTCCATGGCCTCTGCATCAGCTCCTGCCTCCAGGGCTCTGCCTTGCTTGAGTTCCCATCCTGACTTCCTCCAATGATGGACCATGATCTGGAAGTTTAAACTGAATAAGCCCTTT